AGGGAGGTGGAGGCGACGGCGGCCGGGCAGGCCGCGCTCGCGGCGGGCGGGTGGGTTTGTGGGCGCTGCCTTCTCCCGATGCTGCACCGCTCCCGTACGATTTGCGATCGCTGTCATACCCTCCGCCATGATGCGATGACGACGGTGAGGGGGTGGTGCGCGGACGTGCGGAATTGGATCTGTGGGCGGTGCTTTGAGATGAACTTTGACCGCGACAATTCATGCCGCTGCTGCGGAACGGCCCGCGAGGAGAGCAAAGAAGTGCGTGTGATTCACCACGAGCGGATTGTCGACCAGGTGCGGCGGTCCGCCGTCGGGAGCGTGATTAATTCGCGAAATCGCATCTGCCGCTGGGTTTGCCCGGGCTGCGAGGAGGTGAACTCACTGCAGTCTAGCATCTGCCGGTACTGCAACCGCGAGCGCTTTGACATCGTCGTCGGCTGCCCGCAGTGCCGGGCCCCGCGACAGCTCAGCAATGCACAGGTCTATGGCAGCACTCCGGAGGATCGGAAACATGTTCTAATCACTTTCGGAATGCATAATTGCGTTGCGCGTTTTTCTCCGGAGCAGCGTTGCGAAGGCTGCGGGAGTTCGCTGCATGGTGGGCACATCCTATCGCATGCACGGTCATTGTGGTGGTGTGCGTGCGGGGTGCTAAACATCGTGGGCTCACACAGCTGCTATCACTGCCGGATGCCGCGAGCGATTTCGACTGGGGGCGTGCTGGAGCGTATTTTGACGGGCGCTCAGTGGGATTTCCAGACCTGCACCTCGTGGTTCTGTGAGAGTTGTGATGGGATTAATCTCGCATCCCGCAGCACAGTTTATCTAAAGCGTGATAATACGGTGGACAACCAATCCAAGAAGTCCACACGTCTCCTTCACGGGGATGTGAAGTGCACGCATTGCGGGGCTCCTTGGCATCATTACCTGCTTCGTGATCGTGGATGCTGGCGCTGCGCCTGCCATCTCATCAATTCAACTGAGGATAAGGTCTGCAGGAGCTGCAATCTGCCTGCGGCGGATAGCATCAATGTCGATGTTATCTCTTCCTGGGCAAAGGGTGACTGGATCTGTGGCAATTGTCAGGCCCATTGCTACCGGGATCGAGCGCGGTGTGTCTGTGGGAATCCGCGTATTAAGCAAGAAGGGAAGGTAGAAAGCTGAAAGGGGGAGTATGCAATTATGTATACGTGTATACGTATATTTGCCTATTAGCTAACACTATATCAAATAACTTTCATTTCATTTGTTCTATTTTAGAATAGGAAAGCGATATTTCTTGATGATTTTTTGAGTGGTGTGTATTGTAAGGGTGTAGTGCTACATATCATCTTAATTTCTACTTTCCAAACTACTTAGTTTTCACATGCAAACGAGAAAACAAAGAATAACCCTAAGGTTATTTATTTAATTTTGAGTGTGTACTTGTAGATATGGAGACGCGGATAACGATAAAAATCTGAAATTTGAAAAAGTTACATACCGGTAAAGATATTGTCAGGTCTTTTCAGTTCTTCATTTATTGCTCTCAAAATTTCAACGGAAAGTACCTTTTTCACGGATCCTTTCCATTTATTTTTTCCTCCTCCCCCC